ACACACACACACACACACACACACACACACACACACATACATATAACTTTGCTGTGAGTGTGGCCTGACTGGAATATGATGAGGCTTTTCGTGGTTCATTTTCCATTCTCAAGGGTAAAACAGCAACGCGTGTAAAAGAGAGCAGCTACCGTTCAATGGAGCTCTTTGAAGAACTACATCAAACACAGAAAACCATCTTCTAGCAACTGGCCTCACAGTAGAGAGAATGAAGAGTGTGTGTGTGTCTTTTTCTTCACCCCATTCTGACCATTCCCATTATCTCACTTCTACACATTGCTCTATACCACCACTTAAGACTGTCCTGAATGGCAATTTTTGGTCTTTGGAGCGTCCCTAGTGTTAATGGAAGAATATTTGAATATTGTGCTGCAGCTAAAAGTACCTCTTTGCCCATCTAGCAGTACTTTGGGTTAAAAAAACACTATATTTTTTGGCCTATAACCACTAAGTCATAGCATTTCAAAGCTTGTTTCTATTAGTTAACAGCTAACAGGTATATTATACTAGTAGCTGTGATATGCTAGCAGTAAGGTGGTTTTGGGGTCAACTGTAATGTCTGTTATTAGCCCTTTTCTTGGTTTTAGATGTCATAAGCTACAGTACTTCTATATAATCAGATCTATTGTACAATATATTTCTATATGAACAGAGAGTTTACCCCACAGAGTCAAAAGTACTATCCGAGATCTCAAAAATAAATTAAGTTGTACCTTTTATAGAAAATATATCAACTTCTAAATGATATAAAACATCGTCATACTTGTGCAAGTTTGATATAGTAAAATATGATTGAGGCAGGTGCATTGGTATGAGAGTAAATTAAAGACTGTTCGACCCCACTCTTCCCTAAATGTTGGATTGTGTTGCATATTTCTTCAGTTTTTCTGCACTCCTCTCTTGCAGTATTTTCATATATATATATATATATAAAAATATAAAAAAATTATTTTAGCTCAGTTCTCTCATTTTTGTCTATTATTCTTTCTTTCTCTTTTCTGTTTCTGCTTCTTTTTCTTCTCCTGCTGGTGATGGGGGGAGGTTCTTGATTAGAACAACACTGCCAAGTTCTTCCACATTGCATCATTGTATTTGATTAGCTGCAGCCCCCTGCTCCCTCCCTTATCGCTACAGCACAACAGGAAGCACCACACATGTGTGCACACACACAGAAATACGCATGCATATATATCAAAACCTCACTTGCAGACTTATCTGAACTCCATAACCGCCTGTACACTGGCATATACAGTATAAACACACAGACACACACATCTAGAATGCGACTGGTGCCATGGCAGCAGGGCATCAGGTAAAGCCAGCATGGTGCTGACACCTCCCGATCCCTAATGAAGCAGTAATAAACTGCAGCACAAAGCAGTGGATCAGAGAGCAGCAGTTCCCCACCTGCCTGGCTGTTGTGTCTGCTGTCTGCCAAGCGGAGAGACGAGAGGGGAGAAGATCACTTTAATCCTCTAAAAACCCTTCTGACCCACTTTTGAGGGTGACGTCATCCTCCCATCACCTGCTCTTCACTGTCTTGCCAAAGGTTCTTTACTTTTCAGTTGTCAAGGGTCTGACATCAAACTCAGTAAAATTAAACTACTACTCAGTTCCACCATTAACAATCCACCAGCTCTGCACAAAACTATGCATCTGGAAGTACTAATGTCATTTGTTTTGCAGTTTTCAAATACTTTCTGAATGTAAAAACATGTAGTCATTTTTGTGCATGTGGGAAAAACATACTTGGTAAATGGAAAAAGATTCAGAGATGTTGGGTCAAAAATCTTTTCAAATGTTCTTCATAGTATCTGCAGCTCAAGCTAGAATCTAGAAAGTTTTGTCCACTTGTCTCTATTTGTGGAAGTGTGACTGTAGAGGCCTGTTCAATTTTAAATTAAAGTGAAGTAATATTAATTTTACTCCTGAACTCTTTTGCGTGTTTGTTTGCCCCACTAGCTCTTAACTGTAAAACCATTAGCTGTAGGTAGCTGTGTGAGCCCTTGTCTCCTTTTTGTCTCTTTACATTCATGAACAATGAATATGTCTTTGTGTCCACCTTGCACTGATATTATGGCCCAACTTGCAGAGATGCTCATACTTTTTGTGAAAAGCCCCAAATCACTACAGCACATGAATTCACACTGTAGGTGCACAGGTAGTCCAATTACAGCACTGCACATCCCTGACTACTGAACGATGCCAGGCTTCTAATTCAAATGAAGCAAACCTGCTGAGGTTAGATATTCCAGGGGGCCGTGTGCATTCAAAGACTGCATGCCTGTGATTAGAGGAATAGGAGCAGTCATTTAGTAAAAAGACCCAATCAAATGCATCTCCAGCTGTGACTGACAAGGATGAGTCCAGAGTTCTTTTAAAAATTGTCCGATTATAGAGCAGTTTCTTAAATGTAAAAAAAAATAATAATAATCTGTCTCCATTACTCAGTTAAGTCTTTTTCAACAAATATGTAAACACATGAAGGATTATTCCTTTAATTGGGTCTTAGAATGCTGACAGTTCCTTGGGATGACCTCCCCTTGTCCCCCATAAACTAGAAATGTCATCTGTGGATGTTGCCGTTGCTTCAGTGTGACGTAGTGTCTTTATCTCTATCTGTATCCTTAGCAGTCTTTTTTTCCTCATTATCCTTGCAGTCTAAACCTTGCTGAGCTTTATTCCAGTGAAGGAGACTGATCTTAATTGGCAGCAAGGATCATTCTAATTTAGCAAAGTCAGCTCTGCTGATTTTTTCAGCTTCCTGCTTTTTCTTCTTTTTTCCTGCCACCTTTCACCTGATAATAATGAGAAAATATAAGTGAGAACTCCCTGAAATTTGCTGTATTGAGTGTTTTTTTTTTTTTTTTGTATGGGTGCTTGTTACACTGATCACATTCGCCCAGGCAATTTGCCTGCTTGTCTGAGTCTGAGAAGGGAGGCTTATCTACATTAACGCCCATCGAGGCTGCGCTTCGTATCCAAATCGGCCCCTGTTAGTATTCAAATCAAGAGCCCCCTCTTCCCTCCTATTCTACCTTGCTCTTGTGCCCCTGACTATTGCTCCCACCCTTCTTTGCCTGTCAACACGCCAGCTTGGCTTGGAGCAAAAGAAGGTTGGATAGAGGGAGAGAAAGTCTGGGCTATTATTTAATGAGATCAAGAAGTGCAAGGAGAATGCTGTTTACTGTCACACAGCAAACAGGGGCCCGTCTCTGCAGGCAAGGAGGATCACTGGGCTTCTCCCTCTCCTTCCTCCACTTCCTGGGTAGCTGTGACTGCTGCCTCCACATTAACAACCACCAGTTTATCGAAACCATTAAGCACACTAACAATGTGCTTATTTTCGTCAGGACATACTGTACCTCCTCCTCTCACCTCCAATGCTGGGGCTATCAGAACAGTATGGCTTTGAGGGGGGGTTTACTACTATAAACTACATAACAAGGGCCAAAAATATTTTATACTATAAAGTACAGTGAACATGCAAATTGATCAGTAAATGTAGCTTGTGTGTAATTACTGCTGCTGTGATTTAACATGCACTTTTTACCTGTTCTGATATAACAAGGTCATTACCGCAGTTTCCAACAAACCAATGGAGTCTCATTGTTCATATGATTAGATACAAATGAGAGGTGTCACAGTCTTGTCCACACTGGCGGCCATTAAGCTATCATCACAGCTCACAGTGACTTATGGTTTTCAGTAATGAAGTATCATTTCGGTAAGTCTTTTTTCAACAGTCTCTTTTAGTTAGAAATGTACTTTATTTTGAAGTTAGTCTTGAGGGATCCTTGTTATAATTTAGGTCTAGAGTCAGTTTCAAAGTTCCTGCTGCAGTACAGAGCAAATATAAAAAGTGGGAGGGAGTGTTCGTTAGCGAGTCCAACGCACCAAAGCTCAAAAGGACTTGAAAGGAGAGAATTGGCGGGGGTGGGGGTCAGGTCATGAGGATAAGGAAAGTAAGGTGGGGGGCTAACCTTTGATCAAGCACACTCCTCGTCGCTCCTTCTGTCTTCTTACACATCCATAATATATTTCTGCACCCACTCCAGTTTCTTATTAACAAGGCAGTACCACTCCATCCTGAAGGCAGGTATCAAATTTTCAAAAAAGACAAACCTGAAACGTAGTCTGCAATTGTCTTTTAGGAGTGAGTGAAAAAAAACAAACAGTTGGAGGTTTAATATATGCATTTCCCCTTTCAGATACACCATGATGGTTGTGAGGAAAGAGGGGATAATATCAAACACAAGCAAATATTTATTCTAAATTTGGCGGGCTTAGGAAATGCGAGGGCTGCTGATGCTCAGCTCCTGTCTCACAAGAGAGTGTGTTTGTTCACGGGAGTCATAAATGTGCATCGTGCTGCAAGATGACAGTGATTGTAGCCTGATGGCCGCCTTCTGTGGAGCAAATGAATTCCTCTATCAGTGGCAAACACTGGCAAAATTAAAGCCTATCACTGGAATGAGTCACTCAGCCACAAGTGATGTGCTGTTTAATTAGGGTGAAAACAAAGACCTTAGGGGGAATACCTCTCTCCCTTTTCCTTCCACTCCCTCACTCTCATTTGTAGAAAGGTAAATATTCAGAGGGTCGCTTTTTAGCCATGGCGATTAAAGCATGCTTGAGCATAGCAAAAGGGAATGTGCTATGAATGCAAAGCTCCTAATTCAATTCACTCTGCACTATGAAATGAAACACAACTTGTTTGTATGAGTAGACAGCTGTGGTAGTGCTACTTATCCAGGGGTGTCAAGTAGTTCTTCAAACCCAGAATAACAGCAGTGGGCTTCCAAAAGTGCACCATCAACCTCTTAAATAAGGTGAACTGTCATTGATGATGGACTCTACAGTACAGTGTACAGTAGTAGTGAGTGTCCTGGAGTACAGCTGGTTGACAGGTGTACTCTTCAGCATAAGAACCCCTCTGCTTTTCACTAAATGTTGTTTTCATGTTGTATCCCTGCCTGCAGCTTTGAAGGACCCCTGCACCGAGGTGACCTGCAGCTATGGCAGCACCTGTGTCCAGTCGTCTGATGGCTTGTCAGCTAAATGCATGTGCCCCCTCGGCTGTGAAGGCAAGCCTCAGCAGACAGTGTGTGGCAGTGATGGGAAGGACTACCGGAACGAGTGTGAACTCCATCAGCATGCCTGCAAGAGCCAGAAGAACATACGTGTGCAGTACCAAGGGCACTGCGGTGAGACGTCTCTCGCTTTCATCTATTCTGTTGAAGTGTTTTTTTTACTGATGAATCAATGGAGGTGTCTAGCAACAGTGAAACATGCCTATCATAATTTCTCAAGACATCATCTTCACTTTTGTTTGATAAGATGATACATTTACAATGATATAATTGAACTACAAGCAAAACACCCTCACATCTGAGATGCTGAAAACAGCAAATTTTTGGCAATTTTGCTGGATAAATGACTTAAATGGTAAATTGACTATGAAAAAGCCTTCTTTTCTTTCTCTCTTCTTGTCTTCACTTTATTTACTACCTCTGGCTTTTGTTGTTTCTCCTTCACATATCCCACTTACTTACGGCATGCATTTCCTAATTCTCATTTTTCATTCAGGTGGCTTTACACAGGTATTCCTGCAGTGTGAATTGTTGTTTTCTCTAAGTAGGTCTTCAGCGCTGTCATTTTTGTCGGGCCCTGCTTTTTTGCTCATCCTTGTTATTATCAGGCGATGGTTGTTTACTCCCAAGGCGCTCAACTTTGAGGTTTTTTTTTTCTTTTTTCTGCGTGAGCCAGATGGAGGGCAAGAACAGCAGACACAAACTCTGTCTCTTAGCAGTGGGAGCCTCCGGGAAACAGAGCGGGGTGGTGGGCAATGAGAGATGGATGTGCAGTTCCGCCAGCGTTAGGTTGGTCATATAAATCCAGCTTGAGTCAGCCAAAGTGACCCGAATTGCCCCATCCTCCCTAGGGGAGGGCTGAGGCCCAAGGGACCAGTTGGCCCTGATGGCCCTCTAAATCTTCAAACAGCCATTTCATCTAAAACCTATGCTATTTCAAATTGGTAGCCCTACCCAGATAAATGCAGTTGATTTATCTGCTAGTTTATGCAGCAAACAGGCCATTCTGTTTGTAATTACCCTACTTGCTCAGCTAGAGGAAACCATGAATCCTGGAAGCTGTTCTTCTCAGTTAATGGGTGGTACAGTAACGGGCTCTCAGATAATAGCCTGGCTGGAGGGTGAGGCACTGCCTTATGCAGAGACACTTCTTGCATTATGATAAAACCCCTGTTTGCTTGGTTGCTAGTCTCTGCAAACCTTTGCATTGTGCTGATAGACAAGAGCCCAAGGCCTGGCTAAAGCTGCCTGTGGTCACTCCGCCTCCCAGGCCTCCACAGCCAAAGCGCTCTGTCCCTTTTTATGTTCCTGCATTGTGGCTCTCTGTATGCCTGCCAGAGGTCTTTGGAAACCATTTCCCCTTATTCTTCCTTTCTCATTCTTCCTACTCCTTTCCTGATGGTAGGGTGTTTCATCCTTGGTGTGTTTTGAATGACTTGTCGACAGTTTGGCAGTGATTTAATATGTCACGGTGCTACACAAATCCTTTGTCTTTCCACATGCTGAAAGTGTGGTGAGCAGGATAAAGCCCGGGCTCCCATTTCAAGGAGTAAAACCCCCCCCCCCCCCCCGTACCCCACATCAACAAACCAATTCCATTATGATCACGGACTGATACGGCCGAGCGTGCCAGACCAAAGCTCCCCCTGGAAGGAGGAAGGTGCCAGGGAGCAAATCAAGCCGACAGTCTCTTCATCCATTTCCTTGTCTCCCCTTCACATCCAAGGTCCTACTTGGAGCTGCTCTTAGCTGCAGGGCTGCTGATAATATCTCTGGAGCAGCAATGATGGAGGATTCTGTCTTGTTGTCCCCGCTACCCACTCTTATAGTTTTACCCTCTCTTCTTTTCACTTATAGCCTATACTGAGAAGATTATTTGGCCTGAAAAATGTATTGCATTTATATTATTTACTGTAATTTACACACTGTGTTACCAGTGCTCTGTCTAACAGGAGCTAAATTTTGGTTTCTATTTAGCCAAAGATGCATCAAGCCCCATTATATTTTTAATGTTCTTTTTCTTTTGTCAAGGTATCCTTCAATTTCCCACAGAAGACCAAAAAATTGGACCAAGGTGTTTTTGATCAAAGCCTTTTTTATCCCCAGGGTCTAATTAATATAGACATTTTTCATGTTATCTTCCAAATCAATATATTCTACTTACCAGCTACGTAACACAGCACATATTCATGAATTCCTTTGTGTCCACAGACCCATGTAAAGACAGCGAGAACAGTCTTAACACATTGTGCCGGGTGGAGGCGCTTACTCGTCAGCCCCTCACTTTTGGTCTGCCGGAGTCGTGCCCCCCAGCTAATGAGCCTCTGTGTGCCAGTGACGGCGAAACCTACCCCAGTGAGTGTGCCATGACAGCAACGGGTATGCAGAAAGGCATCAAGCTCAAGAAGATCCACACAGGACGCTGCAGAAGGCTGGGTAAGGAAGAGCTTTGTGGTCATTAGAAGTTACTGTAAATTCATGGAAATGTATTAGTTGTATAGATGATGAAGAGAGCGCTTCATTATAAAGCTCTTAATGTTCAGATCCAGAAAATCTGGGAAATTTCCAAATTAACCACAAGGGTCTACTCATCAAATGTGGTCTGTGTTTTAACAAATGCAAGCCACCCCCAGAAGTTGGGTTAAACAATATGGCCTGGCAAACATTCAACAGAGGGTAAGCAAAACACAGTAGCAAAGCATCTGCGTCATATTGTCATGTATGTAAGCTTTCACATATTTCAAATGATTTGTGCCCAATAAATAAACAGATGCAGGGGAATTTGCATTAAAATCTAACTCAGTAATTGTATTCCACTCCACTGCACACAGATAAATGACTTTGAGGTATTGGGGTACTGTACTGGTACTGTATCCATGCTAGCAGTAGCCTTCTCCAACCTGATAAGAGCCTCCAGGGGTGTTATCTATGATATTAGAACAGGGGTTTTACTCCTTAGTCAAAAAAGCTCAGCTTTTACTTCTATGCCTGATAGCCATCAGAGGAAATCCAGTTCTCCTGCTGTATTGTCAGTAGGTGCTGCCAAAGTCACAGTTATGTTGGTTTATGACAGAGGTGGGCAGAGACCGTCATGTATTGTATGTATTGAGACCCCTGACGACGCTAAAGACAATGATTGATCACTGCAGGACGCCCGATAGTTCAGTCAACAGTGAAGACTGATCTTTGACACACCCTAATTCTCCTGTCTGCTCCACTTGACAGGCTGTTGGCAGAGTGTGAGGGCTTAAATTTTAACAAATCACAGTCTAAGTAGCATTGTTCGTTTGTGTTTGTGTGTCAGTACAGTATGCTTGTGAGGAACGTGCATGTGTGAACAGTTTTCTTTTTCTGCCATGCCTTTTTCAAATGAAAGAATAATTTAATTTGAAACAGAGATCCATGAAATCATATCCTTAAGCAAATTGCAAATTGGTAACTAATGAAAATGGCCATTTTCACTTGTAACCATGACACTGCACATCCTTGTAGCCCTCACACTCAGATACAGCAGCGATGTAATTAAGTTTGGCATGACAGGCTTTTAAAGGGAGGGGAAGAAGGAATTGAATTGCTGTACAGATTTGATCCACTGATCAGGAATGAAATAAATTCGGAGTCTAGTGAGCGCCTCCAGAACAGAGGCCTACTTCAAATTGGATTTTCTCACTTCAGTGACAAATTTGCCATTTCACATTACCAGTATTTCTTTCTTTTTCTTAATTTCCACAGTAGATTTCTGCTTACTGAGTCAAACTATAATGAATATAATAGTTTAGTCTTTAACTTGACCTTAAAATTAAATTCTTGAGTTTCCCAATTATATTAAAAATATTGTTAGAGATAGAACAGAGCATGGTGAAGCTAATATCTTGTCAGTTGTCATAGGGAACATTTCTAAAAATGTAGTAACAGCTTCAACTGTAATGTCATTAAGTGTCACTTTGCAGAATTTGTTAGTGTGATTGTTTTTTTGCCACGGATATTATCATAATAAACTAATAAAAGTTAAGTGAATTTAAAAAAAAGCCAGATTCAGTATAGTGACTTCTGTCATTGTGGTAAATTACGCTCACGGCTTCAGAGAATTTACCTTAAGTTTAGAAAAAAAAAACATGAGTGATGCTAATTTTCTACAAATTAAGTAAACAGGTTAACCAATAATTTTCACTTAATTTGATTGGAACAAAAGAAGTAATGAAATAATTTTCAAGTTAAACACAAACTAATAAGCACTCCACAACTCATTTGTGTGGCAAATTTTGTCTCTTTTTATTTTCTAGTATTGTCACCAGCCGCTTAGATCCCTCTTAGAGTAGCAACCACATTTTTGTCAGTTAACATATATTTATTTCTGATGTGTTTTATGTATTTACACCAAAGGCTTAACCTTTGCTGCTGAAAGAAAAGCATTTACACGCACTACCGGTGACATAAGTCCACCCTAACATGTAGCTCCTGTTTGGATGAAAGCTGATTTATTTCCCCATGGTTAGGCCAGCAGTCACACAGAAGGAAAAACAATCAGTTCAGCACTTTGCTAGCTTGAAATGTTTTTTTATGCTTGCTGAGTACTTCTGTTGCCCTTTCCTCTTTGGCGATCAGTCTGTCACACTGTTTGAGAATTGGCAGTTCTAGAAAGCTCTAAACAGCCTTATCAGTGTCTGTACAGATGGGTGACAATTTAAAAAATACTGAATAACCTGGTGGATAAATATAACAAATGCAGATGCTTCTATACTAGGTACATTCTGAAAATGGGTTAGAATGATGGTTAGGTTAACCCTGAATGGTTCTAAGACAGCTACTGGATTAATCAAATTTTTACCCATCTCTCCTTTCAGAGGAGTGTAAGGAGGAGTGTGCCTACAACGCCGTGTGTCTGGTGGAAAAGCAGACTGCAGGCTGCTCCTGCGATCCCATTCAGTGTGACGGTACCTACAAGCCCGTGTGCGGCAAAGACGGCCACACGTACAACAATGACTGTGAGCGAGGCAAAGCGGAGTGTCTGAGGAGGACCCTCATCCCCATCAAGCACCCCGGGCCCTGTGG